GTGGTTCATGGGGTCACGAAGAGTCAGACACGACTTAACGACTGAACAACAACAACAATTGAAGCAAAATGTTTCTCGCAGGACTGACAGAAAGACTTTTCCACACAGTGTGTTAATTAAACTGTGGAATTCATTGCCAGCAGTTGTGCGAGTGGCAGCCAATTTGGATGGTTTTAAAAGGCAACTGGACAGGTTCGTGAAGGATCTTGCTTTCAGCAGCTACTAATATTGATGGCTGTTTACTACCTCCTGAATCACAGGCAGCAGCTTTCCATAATGGATGATGAAAGGGGACAAAGGAGGGGGCTTTGCTTCCAGTCCAAAACTGGGAGTTTTTGCATCGACTTGGTCACTGTCTGGCACAGAATGCTACATTAGATGGCCTGATGGTCTGATCTAGCAAGTCTCTTCTTACATTCTTCTTAGCGGTGTGCAGTATATTTTGAGTTCAAACTCTCTCAAATTCAAATTGTGTTACTTGGTACACTTGCACGCCATTGAGTCTGGAGCGAATCATGGCAGTTTCAAGACCAGTTTTCACATTCAGAACAAGCTGTTTTGACTATCTTGAAGAGTCCTGAACTCAATATGTTATTTTTTATTGTTTAGTGGTGAGACCTGTAGCCAAATTGTGTACCATGACTCTGTCAATTAGAAGTTTCTGGACTTAATTTTTTCTCTAGGTGTATCTTGTACAGGCATGAACAGGTATTTTCCTTTCTTTTTTTAATTGAACGAAGTGTAATGTATTTTTTAAACTTTTGCATGTTTGGTCTATGGCTGTATATTTTAATAAATTAAACACTTCTTAAGCTGACATTGATGGGCAAAGCTTGCTCTATTTTCAAGTAGACCTGGATTTCTAGCCTTTCAGTACTGTGTGTTTGTGCCTTTCTCTGCCCAACAGGTTCAGGATGAAACAGATGAACATTGTTGGGCAAAGCCCATTGAGCCAACCCTCACGTGTCATTCAGACCCTCCAGGCACCACCAGATGTGGCACCAGGGAGTGTGACAGTGCGTACTGCCAGTGAGACGAGCTTGTGGGTTCGCTGGGTGGTAAGTTACCAATAACTAGCTTGTGTAGAAGAAAGAATGACTTCCTAACTCTTTCTCCTAGGAGAGTCTTCCCCAACATAGTTGTCCTCCAGATGGGTGGGACGTCAGCCCCAATAACCCCTGAGATGTCTGAGAATAATGGGAGCCAAAGTCCCCATTACACATCTAAAGGTGATGAGGTTGGGAACACCTGTCCTACTGGATGATTCCCCAATCCATAAAAATTTTCTTTGTATTTTCTCCTCTACTAGGTTCTAGGTCATAACAGAGCTAGAGGTTCTAGGTCATGACAGCTTTAGGTCATAACAGAGCTCCTTCCTGTTTCCCCTCTGCTCTTTTTCCTACCTGCAATTTCTCTGCTGTTTCCTGTCTGCATGTTGGCATGCATAAATCTGAGCACCACAGTTCTGGCCTTCTCCCTAGATAGGATGCATTCACTAACAGACCAAATACTAAAAGCATAGCAAGAAATTTCAAATGCAACATAATGGGAATCGACCATATGTTGCTCTTTGTTTATGGCAATACAATTTCAAAGCAAATGAAATAAATTCCTGGCCAGTGGAGTTGCTCTTAGTTCAATTTCCTAAAAGTTTTAAACTGTAAAGAGAATGGTTTTCACATAGAAACAGGAGTGAATGTGGAGGTTATATCTATGTGATAGATTACAGAGCTGAGTGATTAACTCTGGAAGCGGGTGATAAATGGCAGGGCCCTTGATAAATGAATTTATCTTGTGCCTTTGACTGCTGACCCACCCTTGCCTGATGAAAATTCATTCAAATATTCCAGTGTCTGCTTCTCTGCCACTCCAAGCCATCTTCCTGTTCTGCTGCAGAATGCAAAAAACGTGCTCCCAAATTTCCCCAAGCAAACTCACCATCCTCACCTTGGCAGGGAGGGAAGCTTTTTCAAGCCCCAGGCCCCTGTGCATCCTCCAGGTCATTAAGGCATCCCATGAACCACAGGAACGAATTTCTCCTCTTGTTCGGCATCTGCTGCAAGAGCCCGTTGTTCAGGAAAAAGGTAGCTGCAGATCCCAGCAGAGGTACCCCAGCTGCCAGTATGTGCCCGGACCAGCTCTTTGGATCCCTGTCAAAGAGGTGGGATGTTGTGCTAAGTGTGGAAGATGGATTAATTGGCAGGGAGCCAGAGGGGCAGGTAAAAATGACAGGTGTGGGTCACCTGACTGTATAATTAGTGTTATTAATAGTGTTGCTACCCAAGTGAGCCACATGTCTGGGTCGTTCTTAATAGTTTACAGAGAGCCATTCAGCGCTGAAAGTTCAAACATCTACCGTATTTGTTGTTCTGGAAGCCTCTTACTTGCTGGACTCCGGGCGTGGCTTCTGTAGCAACCTCAAGGTATCCACAACAGCACAGTTGGTGTTGGATGGAGAACCGTCCAGGCCCACCTGCCTTTGCTTTACATCCCTGCCACTGAAATGGAATTGGATGCGGACATTTTCACACCCCTGTTCCAAGGGTGCATCCATGTTCATGCTAGAACGAAACAGCCTCTTGGCACCAGTTCTCACCACAGCATGCAAGGGTATCTCTGCGATGCCATGTTGTAATGCGGAGCCAGGAGAGGTGCCCTTTTCTAGCATATTCCAGTCCATATACCACTCTTCTCTCTCTTGGAAAATCAGATGCGGGATTCTGTGGTTAATAGATTCGCACCATCTTTATTGAGCTGTTTCTGGGGTTCTCCCCTTTACCTTGAACGTCTGTATCCCAACTGGTACCTTCCTTTAGTACAGTGTTCCTCAACCTTGACCACTTGAAGATGT